GAAAACAGGCGGTTACAGTATCTCAAACTGCTCGTAAAATCAAGTGCCTCGGAGCGTCGAGTACACAAAATACTACTTAGTTTTCGCCTATGCACACCTGGTTAGTTACAGGTAGAAAGTGGATTTAGCATCGCTGTCATTTCCCCGCCTTACTGGAGCTTATTTGGGCAACTAAACCGGATTACGCTATGCCCAATAGTGTGTATTCACGAAGCCGACATATTTGATTCTACGCGCAGTTTTTAAGGGTACTGTATCCCGCCTGTTTTCCTTGACTTGGAATCTTGCTAGGACAACTGCTTTATTATACTATCACTCTCCTAATAATCTATTAGTCTCCATACTTATTGAAAATAAGAAATAGCGAGATAATAATATAATCATTAACATAAATATCACCATATATTATGTAATATCACATATAATTATTATAACTACTGGTTATGTTTCCGAATGGAGTTTCTCAGTGACTCGTCTTGACAAGACGCCCACCCTCGATTAATCCTGAGCAATCCCGGGAGATTTGAGGGAAGAACTTTGATGCCTCCCAGTCGTCATCGTCTAGGGCTATTTTCGATGACAACGCTAATCTATCAGTGCAGAGTGGCTAATTGACCTTCGATGAAATGCTTGCGCAAGGCATCCGGCCATCTGACAACAATCAGCTCAAATTTCAGTTCGGTCAAGCTCTCGATGGCCATGTGTGTGGTTCACCTCAGCTGGTGTCACGTCATCAACATGCAGCCAGCTCACTTCTCGATGTGATCTCTGACAGACAACCAAAAACCGTCGCTTCTGCTGACGAAACCAGCACTACCTTCCTTGACCTGCCTAGAGAGGTAAGTAAGTCCTAAGGAGGCTTTTTCTGACCATTCTACAGCTACACAAAACCTTTTATTTAATCTGTCGGATGGTGCTCCGACGCCTTCCTGACGATCGCTCTCTCTTGGAGACCGCCAAGGTGAGGATAAAATTTTCAAATGGAACCGGAACCTACTTGTGATAGGCCACAGCTGACTAGACCCAGGGAACGTCGCACGATCTGGGAACACACTGAATAGCAGAGGGGGGTCGTATTTGCCCTTGAGGGAAGAGTTTTCGATGTTGATTCTCCTTGGGTTTTCCTGTTCCTAGTGCACCACCCTCTCCTCAGCGGCAGTCTTCTAAGGAAAAAGTGAAGGAATTCGTAGTAAAAACTCGGGAAAAGTAGCAAGAGGTTGGAAAAGTTTATAAAATGCAGTAAGACGAGAGACAGGATGAGGGACTGGGAGTGGGCGTTGCTCTAGAGGAGGAATCTGGAGAGGTCATATTCTTGCTGGACATTCCCTAATGGCAGGTCGTGCCCTTCACTACACAGGTGCCCCTACGATTGAGAGATAGGTACCCTTTTCCCCGTTGTACCAGTCACTCGTCTCGCTCTTTACTTGCCATCCAGGACGCTTTTGCTGAATCACATGGTCCCAAATCGCAGACATATGAATCAGTCTAAGTTCGCGAGTAAGTCCTGAGAATAACGTCCGTCCAACCCAAATTCGAAGCAATGATCAGTCATAGAGTTCCCAAGTAAGATCCCTGATGGATTCTTCGTGAGGTATGGCCCAGGAAGTCCACAGTACGGAATTTAGGTGTTGCTCATGACGTGTACCACATGTCTCCTGCTTATCCCACTGTGCTCAGCAGACCTTTAATATTCATGTTTCAGGCACACGAAGCCCTTCAATGCATCATTGATCGTGAAGATCGTTTATGGCAATCGCTATGTGAATTCCATTTCACACCTGCCCAAATCGATCAACGAAAGACGCCAGCGAAGACATGGCGGCAGACGTTCTTCGAGCTGAAGAAGTACAATGGTATACGTGAGGTAAGTTCCCCTCCTTCGAAGACATACTTCGCGAATTACCTGATAGGTGAAACTCCTTCCGTGTACAAGAAGGCGCGGTGTTGCGTAGTTGGTACCACTTTCCCTGCCCAAAAATGGATGGTATAAGCGCTGAGACTGTCGTCCGCCATAGCAACTCCACCCAACAGCGGCTCCACCTAATTGGGAATGCTTGTGATCATATTTGCTGCGGACACTACGTTTCCCCTTGTGCGTAACTTTTTTTGTCCTCTCTCTGTTGTTGTCTCGTTCTCGTCGCCGCTCGCGCATTGTTTTATCGTCTCTCGCATCGCGCATGCGCCTAAGCAAACTGCAAAAAAGGCGTCTGTTACTTGGACTCCTCGTTAGACGGTTCGAGTGGTCTTCTTCTTCACCGAAAGTCAACTAGGACCATATTCGAACTCTACTTACCACGATGCGTACTCGCGAAATGTGTCTTTAAGTCCGATAAAATCGACTACCTATTGAAGTGAAGTCGGATTTCAGGTGTATGCAGATCTCATCAACATTTGTTGTCATTGTAAGGCGTTATTTTGGAAGACATTGGGACATCCATGTCTTCGACCGGGTTCGCCTTCGGTGCGGGTCACACCACAACAATTCGTCGACATGCTTATTTACCTCTAAGTCGTAACCCTAGCCCTTACAGGGGTACAGGTCTTTTTTCATGCAATGTACAGAGCTCTTCATACCACCTTGCCATTCTGTTACGTGAAATTCTGTTGTTAATGTTGCTTGCCAAATGATCCACCCATCGGCAGCACTAATTTCTCGCGAGTCCATCCGTTATCAGTGATATATGATAAGTTAATCACCTAGTCTTATCTGGTACAGTAATCATCATCATCATTATCTATGTGAGTGTATGTGATCCCGTTGGAACATCGATTTGATATGTGATAAGGATCAAAGCTGAAAAAATGCTTACCGTAACGCTTTCGCTATCTACAGTCATGATCCCTGCAATCGATAGGGCATGTGACGCGGTGCGTATTGAAGCGCGTCCAGGGCGAACCAATGATGTCGCTACTATTGGTGGGAAATCTGCCTTGGCTGCGCTCTAAGCCACTTTGCTGTCCTATGCCCCATCGTTTGCAAAGAATGACTGTACACATCTTTTACACTCTACACTTTTCACCGGTATCGATTGTTATCGATTTTCCCAGTCTATATAACCAACCCTATATTTGTTGCACTATTTGTTCGGCTTTCTTTTCTCGTCTATTATTTTTCTTCATTCTGTCTTTTTCACCCTACACTTCAGTTATGCACGGGTAGGCCATCCCGATGATAGTTCCATATTTGTTGTAATTATGTATTTTCTTTGGTAGCTTCTAGAGAACTTTTATATGCAAATAGTTCGGCGTTAGTTGTGTTGTGCATCTGATTCGAACTGATAAAAGCTGTTTTCATGATGGATTTTTGGGTTCACGCAAGCAGAAAGGGTTCCAGGACCCTGATTTCGGAAAAGGAGCACAACAAGGGCAAAAAGGAGTATTGGGCGTTCAACGAATTCCACGTCTGGGACGCGCCACGCATCCTATGTCCGTCCATAGCGCTAATGTAGCGGCCTTCAACGGTGATCTTTCCTATACAACAGCTTTTCAGGCCAGCAATGGACAAATCATTTTTTTTTCATCGCACATATATTGATACAAATCGGTACAAATGAGCAGACCCCGCAAGGATAAAAGGTTTCGTTTGCTTGAGCGGATTCGGATCAGCGATTTGGCGGCCTTCCGACTAATGCGCACGATGAAAGCTTCACTTGGGCTACATCGTCCCTTCCCTCCTATGTGGTGGAAAGGGTGCATGTCTCGGCAAAGGGCCCGTCCGCTGCTGTGAGCGCTGCCTACTTAGAGTAGGGTTTAGGGCTGTATAGGCACACACTAAAGACGCAGTTCTCAGAGCATGTTCCGTTTATCGATTTCCAACTTTATAAGAAATATAGGCCTGAGCTGTTTCCTTTCTTTGCTGTTACAAAAGAGAGCATACGCCTTTTCTCATCTCGTATCGAGAGAGAGCCTGAATCTACCAGATCGGCTACAGTTTCCTGCACAGGGCAGGCATCATCGTTAAGTCCGCACGACCCCCTCCGCCCCCGTTTTTTTTAAGGGGTTGATACGAGGCTCCGCTCTTGCAGCCAACGAGTTGTCTATAGTACAGCTCGATTAGGAGGGGGGGGGCAGAGGGGAACCTAGAATCGACGCAAAGCTTACATTTGGTCATAGCGGGGCTGGAGTAGACGAGGGACCAAAGGTATCCTAACTATCCAACTTCGATCTCGTGTTACTTTTCGAGGCAGAAAAATGTTAAGCGAATGCTGCTGCAGCTGCGAATCCACTCGCTTCGCTCGGGGACCGTTCTTGGAAGTGAGCACACAGCTTGTCTTCGAGGTAAGCTTCCCTGACTTTTCGCCTCAGTCTGGGAAGTGTCTCATCATTGATGACGTGTTATCCTAGTTTCCTTCCGTCGTCTCTCAATTTTTCACTTTTTCCTCCTTTTTCCACTTTTCTGCTCCTTTAGATCACATCCTTTCTCGTTTCCTCCTTAGCTGACCTTCACCGCGACATGCTCTCGTAAACTTTATTGGCTTCTGGTCGTCACTGGAATCAGTCTGCTGCTTCCGATAGTGAAAACGTATTGTAACGCCACGAACCATGTCGAATCGGCCGTGAGTCGACCCGTTTCGGTCAGCCCGCCATCACTGAGTGACAAACCGGCCGCTTCATTCGATGCCGTCATCGATGCGAAACGAAATCGCCGTACAAAGGGGTCGACCAAATATTGCGCGATTAAAACGGGGGTTCTTCGACTAAATCTAATCTCGAATTACTCGTGACAGCAAGATCCACATGTGAAAAGCTGAAGCCGCAGGGTGGAATCTGGCGGAAAAATCAAGCAGGAATCATAATTATCGAAGGAAAAAACCCATTACTTCTCCATAATGTAGGCCAATCACGAACCAAAATTACAGCATAGGGTCGGGCAAAATTGGTGGTGTAATCAGAAATTCCCCCTCTCGCCGCCTTCCCAGAAAGTTCTATGGCGACAAGGCCCTCTCACCTAACCTACTATCACCTTGTCACCTTAAAGGCACATTCCGCGATAAAATAAGGCTATGACCTCTCAAATGTGTCGGACGATCCGGAAGGCGATTTTTGAGGCTGCGCTACTTTCAAAATGTGAAAAACGGCAAGAACTCCGCTAGAAGCTGACTAATTAGGCCCATGGACACCCCTTAGGCCCATGCCGACCCTCACCGGCTGCTAGCTAGTAGCCACTATGTTATCTTTCTCTATAACATTTCGGACTGCTTTTTCTGCTGCTTTTCTCCGCTAATCAGATACTTAGCACTTTTTTGTGCCTATTTGAGTTCCGTTTCCCGCAATTTGCGGTCGCGAACTGTGCCTTTAATTCTTGACAACTTCGCCCTCTCTACGAAAATTTTACCAGTTTTCCCCTCGCAATGTGGCAGGAATGGATTCAAGGGGAGGGGGATGGTTAAGCACGGCATAAGTGTACGCAAAAAATTACGAGAAAAAACTTTCCACTCGCTGTGGAAAGAATTCCATCTCGATTCTAATACGACCTCTTTCTTATAGCCAAATATTGACATTCTTCCCCCCCCCCCTCCCCACTGATGGAATTCTTCCAGCGTTGCCGTATACGTTCGCAACCGCGGGGGAGATGCCATCACAATTTCCACTCGAGTGATTCCCATGCAGCTATTGGCAGAAAACCGGTGACTTTTAATGGAATCGCGGGCCAAAAGATGCAAAACAGTAGAGGTTTTTCCATAGTAATCGCCTCAGTGACACGTTAGGGAGGGGAAACCAGGAAGGTGAACCAGTATGGAGGCTTTTTACCTACTAGAGGAAAGTCTTTCAACGAGGGAAATTCGTGTCAGCCCGTTCATAGGCAGTTCATCAGGCAGCCAGGAGTTCGGCCTAAGTGGTCGATAGCGATTAGCATAATGAGTGCGGTAATGAGAGACCTCATGCGAATCGGAACACCTGCATGAAGGTGCCTGGTTGCCTTTCATGCAGATAGCCTGAAAGGCTACCCAGGCAATAATATCGAGGATAAAAGCAGCGGGGTAGCATCGGGGATGGAAGTACCGCCATATTCTCAAAGGTGGGCAACGAAAACTTGCGGGAAAGGTGCTTTGTATCGATCAATTCTTTGAGAATTAACGACGATTTGGACTTATTTTGCATATTCTGAAATTTCTACCATATAAAATGATTTTATGAAATACCAAACTTATATTACAGTACTTCAGCTATTCATTTTTATACCTTTATAGAGAATGATAGTGTAAGTCCTCTTCTAACATGCCCATTGCGCGCATAAATATATGACGAAACAAATGAAATTTGGGAGGTGCAGTTTTAGCTGTTTTAGGAAATGAAGTGTGGAAGGCTAAATCAGCAAACTTTTTTCTTATTAAGACGAATACAGGCGCGGTTTCCTTTGGGGGAAGGGGGGGGGGCTTCAAGGAATCCATGTGCAGAGTTGGTGCTGCATAGATGAGATCAGGATTCCTGCGTAAGGCTAGAGAGCGAACGAGCTTGAACCAACTTCTTAGGATAAACTAGGGTTTTGGCGCTACAGTAATCCCAGTTGCAAAGAGTCCTTCAAATGCTCCCCTTCCCTCCCAAGACGAACAAAATCTAAATACCATTCACCCTGACACCTGTCTTGGGGTGGAAAAGGCTTGGCTAGTTTGAGTCAACCCCAGTTCCACCCAGGGAGTCCCCTGAATGCCCCTGCCAGGGTGAGCAACACCCAAAGACCATTCGATCCCGACCAAAGAAGGATGGCTACCTCGCGCGAAAAGGCCTCACGACCTTTTGATTGAATGCCAGTATGGTCCCCTAAAAAGGTCCCAACCTTCTTATGGAAGGTCCGTAGCAGATAGAAGACCGTTCTGTAATCCCCGTCCAAAGATCTTTCCGTCGGCTTACATCTCATTTCGAATGGCCACTTTCGACCTACCATCCTTTCCTCTACGGACAGAAGGAATGCCCAACCACTGCCGAAACCTTTTCTCACACAAACAAACAGACCACGAAAAGCTCCTATTTCCTCAAATGCCGCAGCAAAAGAAAAGCTTGGAGGGTTTGACCCCTGTCCAACCGATTCGCCTCGATGAAAAAAAAAAAACGAAAAAAAGGGCGATTTTAAGCGCTTTGTCATGAAACCATCCGAAAATAATCGTCGTTTAAGAGCGAAAATAATCGTCATTTTAAGAGCCCGGCATTAGGCAAGGCGAAGTGCAAGACGATCTGTGTATTGAAATTCTGCCCTTAAACGTCGTCCCATATTAGAGGCCATTAGGGCTCACCTGGAAACTCGGAAGGGTTTTCATTTTGACACTTTTTTATTGTTCCAGCAAGATTGTTAGCTGAAATTATTCTTCCTCAACGTGACTGACAATTGGATAACTGCTCTATAACCTGCTAGGTGCCTTGTCCTGGCTTTGTCTTCACTGAATGTAGGAAACGCCAACCGAATCTGAAGAAAGTATGTAGAGGAAATGGCGATATTCCCTGCCATCAAAACCGTTTGAACGACTGCACGAGTGAGTGGTATCTCACTGGAGATTTGCTGGTGTTCCAATG